AAAAAAAAAAAAATATTATCTAGTTACGTCCGTTTGCATTTCAGGTGACTTTTAGTGAGGCTTTGCAATCACTTCCGAGCGAATTTCAACCAGTGCCAATTTGAAAACAACGCGAATTAGATTGACATTCACTCGGAAGTGAATTGCAGAACCTGCCTGGATATGTACTTGAAGGCTGGCTAAACGCTGTCTAGCTTTGTTGTATCGCCATACTTTAAAACGAGGATGCAGAAATTTAAAACCTTTCTTTTTGGTTAAGCAACTGTTGCAATCTTTTAACGATTTAAAAATTTCCTAGTTCAGTCGCAACAACCCCGAAAACTAAGTAATTAAGTTTTTCCCGCCCCGCAAACCTCGACGATCCTTTGGCTTCTTCGGCTTAATGCCTCCAACACCATCTTCGCCCAACCCCAATCCGGTGATGGGATTGCGTGGCGTTGGTGCAGGTGGTGCGCGATTGTCACATACTTCCAGCACTTCTATGCGCTTACTACTGGGTGGCGTCATTTTTGAAAAGGATTTTGGATTATTTGAATTTATACCAGCATCACGACGCGTTTGCGAACCCACGTCACCGGCACCCATATTACTGTGCTTTGCCGAGGAACTAAACCGTTGGGTGTGATCGGCCGTGGAAGCTATGGAGCGAGCCGCGGCTACAGGATGTTCGCTCATTTTAGAACGCGCGGTGTCACCTTCCCTTGTCGTGGCGCGCGAACGTGCCGACAAATCGTTGACATCATGTTTGCCAGGCGATCTACTATCCTCACATGGCAAATCAATACTGAGTTGTGGCGTATTGGAGGTGGGCGTAAAGCTAGCTTCGGCTACTGGCAGTGGTGGGCATGCTTCATCGGGTTCTGGATTGATTGGAGATTATTGCCAAAGGAACGGAATTTGAATTGGGGGTGATTAAATGAACGTTAGCAATGAAGAACAATGGGATAAACATTAAAATATGTAACAAAATCAATGAGCGCTGTATTAAAGTTTTTGTTTTCACTACTTACTGCTCATTTTGCGAAAGACTTGTTTTCGTAACACGCGGAGATATGTAGATATGAGTGTTGATTGGCAGTGGTGATAGGTGATAGGCAGGTTCAATATAAATTGCGGCGTGCAAAAAATGGACGTTGAACAAAATTCACAAACTATTTTGTACTATTTCTTTCAATTCTTCTAATTAAAAATATATTTATATTGTGCGAATAATTATTTTTAATTTTATTTTTAAAATTATTTAATGAATGTCAATAATTTGATTTTTTTACTTTCCAAACTTTTATAATTGATTTGTTTTGAAGTTGATTTGATATATTCATGAGTTAAAAAGCAATGCTTTGAATTTGTATGGGAATAACCAAGGCGAATTTATATAAGGTGGTGTTGTTTCATCAGCTGTGAGTAGCGTTTGAGTGTCAAAATTTTGAATTTCGTTAGTCAGCGAGTGAAAACGTGAGAGTGTTTGCATTTTCTGTCGCCCTTTTTCATTCGGGGAAGAATAGCTGAAATTTGACAATGGCCCGCTAAAAGCAAAAACAAAATACAAGTAATTGTTGTATTTGTTCAATCGATACGACCTTATATGTATTCGCCTTGGGAATAACGTTATATGGAAGGAAAAAGACAGGTGCATTGGGAAAAAATGAAATCTCAAATTTGGGGCCAATGGCCTGTGGCCATGGTGAAATTATAGCAGGTGTAGTAATTAGAGCGAGAAGAAAGATATTACACAATCTTATTTGAAAATTTGCCTTTAAAAATTTCCATAAACAATTTTCTCACCCTCCGCCTTTAATTTGGAATCGAACACAAACAGAGAAAGGGGCAATCAAAAGGCGAAATTTTTTCGTAGAAACGAAATCATCATAAGATAGCCGAAGGTCAGGAAAATAAAGCGGGCGGTTTTATTACTTCACCTGTTTATAATGTCACCATGTCCTTAGGCCATGAGAGCTAAGGAAGCATTTTGAAAAAAGCGATGTTGGAAGAAATGCGTAGGGGAGATTACGATAACCGAGCCAACAAATTTCGACCATGTATTTCGCTGGCTTTTCAAGTGGGAAAACCGGGAAAAATTATGAAAAAAATCCATCTGCAAAAGATACTGTGGATAGCAAGGCCGGTGTTGGTCCGGGAAAGGTTATCTTTTTTTTTAAGCGCAGCTGATTCGCTGATTTCATATTTTAAAAAATCAAAAAGAGCAATAATGTCAAAGCATTTTATTTCGCTTTTGAAAAGGTAATAATGTCAATTGACTTTATTGCCGTTGATCTTGTTACCTATCACCGGAGAAAACACCTCCAATTGGATTTTTTTCAAGTGGTATCAAACTTGTTTCATTTGAATAGGCATAGTGGCTTTCACATAAGCAAAGGACACGATTGAACCAACAAAGGCATACCATTCATTTTGATTCTACTGTATAACACTTTGTATTGGATACTACATTCTTAATTCGAATGTACATATGAAAAAAACCTTCTAGAGGCCCTTTGAAATATCAAGGACATCTCGCAGCTATTCAGAAACAAGGTGAGAAAGTATGCGACAAATGTTAAAAAAATTTCCTAATACTTTTATTGCATGTATTAATCGTAATTTTGGAAACTTGAAAAATTTTGTACACTGATCATGAAGGGGAAACAAAAAACGTTCGTTCTGTCAAAAATCGTGACAACGTTACACAGTGGACCGTTGCCATATAATGTGCGGCCAAAAGTAGTAACCGTCCTACAAATTCGCTGAAATTTCGTATATGCGCTATTCTGCACTAAAGTGTGAAGAAATGTGGAAAAAGGTATATGTCGACGCGATGTCACGCCCACAGCTCTTGTGGGCGGAAATAGTAAATGTTATCCGATTTTGATGAAATTCATATTACATGCTGGTAAAATCATAAATCTGCATGAACATCAAAATTAATTTACATTATCGTCCACCAATTGTAGAAAAAGAGGCACAAATTAAAAAAAAAATATTTCTTGATGAAATTCGGTGTAAACGGTAAAATTTTGCAATTTTGAAGATAACAAAGAGTTTCTTACTATGACGCCCACCACCTTATGAAATGTTTTTGGCTCCGCGTACTAAATTTTATGAATCTTGGGGACAATTCACAGACACTAACTCGAAACTCGCCCGATAGCTTCATCTTAACAAATTATGCAAGTACTTATCATTTTTCTTTCCCTAAACTTAGCATATATCGTCACTAGACACGAATAAAGGCGCGCTAGTGTTTCGACGGCGAAAAAAGACGCGAAAAATAATTTGTGTGAAAACGGCGATTAAGAAAAACTTCGGCAAAGAAAGACGCGTAATCATAGATTTATACTTGGCCAAGACTGTCACTTTAGCATCATTCCCCAAATGTCTTTGGGGAATTTACATACTAGCTCTGATCCAGTACTCCATGAACTTACACGTTTTTACACGAACTTGCAGGAAGCTACAGTAATAACTATCCCGTACTCCAAATTCCTACAAAATCCTATAAGTGAGAGCGATTTTTGGAGAGTTGTGTAGAGAATGAAGTTGCAAGATTTTACCCGAATTTTTTCATGAATCATGAAAAGTGTCAAGCGATCACTGGTTGACGTTTTTACAGGAATAAAATTATAGTTTAAAAAACTAAAACCTCCCTATTATAATTGCCATTCGTACTGTCATCAGGTATGTAACTTGAGAATAGAAATCGCTCCATCTTTTAGACGAATCAATATTACATAGTTACATCCCGAGCTAATAAAAGGGAGGTAAAAAAGCTTTTTTGGAACCCGTACTTTTTGTTGTTACTCTCTTTTTACTGTCACTTTAGAGAGTAATTTTGCTGTTTGACATTTTTACAGGATTTTACACGAAAAGTATTGGATCAGAGCTACTGTTACACCCGCAAACATAGTTGACCGCGAAAATAAGTTTACGCGTTCTTCTTCGCCGTTAAATATTTTAAAGCGTCTTTCTTCGCCGTCAACTTTTGAACTCGCGCCTTTATTCGTATCTGGTGACGATATGTGTATATATGTATACCTTAAAAACTACTACACAGTATGTGGCTTTAGAAATTTTCATTGACTCACCTGTTTTTGAGACACCATTCATCATCTTCAAATTCTCAGTGGACGACGATACCGAGGACGATGTTGAGGTTGACACCGAACCCCCTTTGCCATTGCTGTGATGACCATTCCCATTGGCCAATAACTCTTGGGCGGCCTCAGTATTCGAACCAAATGGAATGTTGCTTTTCATGTGATTCCTGGCGGGAGTGACTGGACGCTCGGGCTCGCCGAAGAGACGTTGATATGAATCAACTTTCTGCTGTCCGCGACGTGGCTGATCACCTGCACAGGATACAGAGGATGAAATAGGGGGATGACACGGGTATCATCAGGATGTGTGGGAAAAAAGAGAAGAAAAGAAAAAGAGAGTTGTTTGTTTTTTACGTTGCATTCATGTACACGAACGTAGGCGTCAACATGAGGTGGGTGGAAAAAACAAACAAAGAGTGGAATTAGTTAAATGTTGCAAGTGAAATTCTAGTATTTTATGTATGTAGTAGATAAATACATACAGTGACGAACAAACGTATTGGCGCAGTGAATTTTTCGCAATGATTGCAAAGTTTTTTATTCTAATTTATTTTCGATAATTTTTTATAAAAATATAGTTCATTTTATACCAAAAAAAAAACATAAAATAAAATGTCTAAACTTTGCGCAAAAGTCAGGAAAATTCAATAAATTTGTACACTAATTTGCAACATTCTATTCAGATCTTTTAGAAAAATTCTAAGTATGAAGTTTTATAGTGCATTCAATTTTAGTATGACAAAATGCAAGTTTAAAGTTGCTAGAAACTCGCGTTGATTTTTGATTTGTTATACTAAATTTGATTGGACTTTAAAACTGCATACTTAGAATTTTTCTAAAAAATCTGATATAAAGTTGCAAATTAGTGTGCAAATTTAGTGAACTTTCATACGTTTTGCGCAAAGTTTAGAAATTTTATTATTATGTTGTCTGGTGTAGAATGAACAATATTTTTATAAAAAATTATCGCAAATAAATTAGAATGAAAAACTTTGCATATATTGCGAAAAATTTACTGTGCCAACACTTTTGTTCGGCACTGTATGTAGTTTGTAAGTAGTACATAAGAGGAGTGGCAATGTGATTTTTATAATTTTTACAAAATATAATTTCATGTAAATAAAGTTAGTTTTTCTTTAAATGATAAACTTAATTTTAAAATCAATCTTATTGGAAATAACATATAAAAAGTTTATGTACAGCAGTGACAAAGGGTGCTTGTGGCAGTGTATGTAGCAGTATTGCAAATGCTGAAAGGGTGTGGGTGGTTGCTTAATCGTGATGCCGTTAGCATAATAATAGCAGGTATTTGTATTTAGTACAGTAGACTATGTGTAACCATATCTGTGAAAGCGCATTAACTACTTTCGAACTTTATATCGGATGAATTTATAAGATATATTATGAAAGTATGTATATTTAAAAAACTTTCGTTTATATTGAATTTTTGACTAGCAACATAAATTTACTTCATTACGACAAAATATGTGATCATTTGGCAAATTTAATGGCGTATTGTCAATATAAAAAAAAAACTGAGAACTTAGCTGCCGATTTACTTTCTATTAAATAACTTAAAATTGTAAAAAAGAAAGCAAAAAATAGCTGATAAAAATATGAAATCCAAACAAGAAAAAAATAAACATATTTTCTGCTGCCCGCAGGCGAAATCACGAAGAGCAGCATCGCCGAATGTGAACAAGTAATTGCAGTGATTGCTGAAATGGCTGAAGCA